TATATATACAATATCTATATGTATGTAAACAAATCCATTAACATTCTTGCACCTGCCAATATTTATCACGCTGGAAAAAGAGGAAGAGCAGGTTTCAGAACAGATGGCTGCCAGCTGTTTAGAAGCAACTTCTCTGGTGCACACAAAATATATTTGAGGTTGTTGGATATTCATTGGCTTCATACTGCCAGTCAGGATTTTYTTCATGTCTGTCTGTCTTTTTCTTCGTGTCTCTTTCTGGACCTTTTGTATTATTTATGCCGCACCCCATCGGCCTCTCTGAGATCTCACATTTCACCTGTGGAACCAGACGAAGACTCCTTCTATGACGTGACACAAGGAACTGTCCACACACACAGACTTACACACATGCAAGCGCGATTCATCTGCCCTTTTGTTCCTCCTCCTGTCACACATTTACTCACACACACACACAAACGCACAATGTATCATTCGTTCTGAGAAGGGCAGGGTGAACAAAATGCCTTGTTGAGTGAGGAAAAGTGTTGTAGTGAGCAGCAGAGGAGATAGTAGGTCAGAGGAAGAAGCTCATTGTGACATCAACACCAACCTAGAGGTTTGTTATTTTTTCCTTTTTTCTTTTTTGTTTGTTTTGAACCTTCAAGAAAATAGTCAGGTCACAAGAGTTTTGAAGACTGCAGAATCCATCCACAAAAGCAACAATTTTTCTTCAGTGCTGTTTGTCACTGAAACAGAGGGGACTGTGATGGAAAATTGTCTTTGGAAATTAGTTTGGCTTCGCCGTCACAAGAAATTGAGTTTGACTACAAACCTGCAGGAGAAAGACTGAACCACCGACGGGGTAGAGTTTGAGCTGGACTAACTGTACTGCATATCTTTGGTGTTAATATGTTTTTTGTTGAAATCAAATACCAGGGAACCTACAGAGGGGAATTTAGTAAAACTCATATTAATCTCTTTCGTAATATCTGTAGCCATGTTTGAGCATACAAAACTACTAATGAATTTGCAGATTTTTTTGTGTGTGTGTTTCAATCTCTGGTTCATTTAGCATCCTAAAATTAAAGCTAGCAGTAGGGCTGCCATGGAATGAGAAGGACGTATGAGAAGAATTGTATATGTCATTGTACTTCTTGGTACTTCTTAGAGATTGCTGAAAAGAAATTTGAGAGTTTGGAGTAAGGTACACTCACCCTGAAATAGATGTTCAAGACACATCAGTAGAAACTCTGAACAGATTTTACAGCTAGAAAGTGGGGTTTAAATAAGGATTGGGTATAAGTTATGGTGTGTAAGATGGAATTACTGTGTGTAAAACATTAACACTAAAGTGTACTCAATAATCATGGCAGTTTGCCATCGTTCCTGACTTATGTTAATACTAGAGTGAAATATATCATTGTTTTTAAATGTGTTTGTTTTAAAAGATTTGTGACATTAACCTTTACACATTTGGGCAGGAGTCTTCATGGGGACCAAATTTGAGCAGTGTAGAGCTGCTTGGACCAGATGGACTTATCACTCTAATACTGAACCTTCCTATAGTTCTGAGGCAAAAGCATACAGGCAAATCAACAACAAAAACTCTTTTTAAAGGTTTGTTGCCATTCATATTTTAACATGTTTTATATAGTAATGAAATTATCTGCATGGCTGCTTTACAAACACGATACAAGTTATTTTCTGTGTTCAAAGGTCAGCTGTGTTGCATCCTGTACAAGCAACATGGTGTGCTTCTAGCCACTTGTCAAAATGCCTGGCAAGAAAGACGCTAAAAAGGACACAAAGAAAGGTGGTAAAGCTGAAYCAGAAAAAAAGAAAGAGGAGGAAAAGAAAGGGAAGGATGACAAAAAGGGAGGAAAAGATGACAAAAAAACCGGAAAGGATGACAAGAAAGGAGGAAAGGATGACAAGAAAGGAGGAAAGGATGATAAGAAAGGGGGAAAGAAAGGAAAGGAGGAGCCACCTAAGGGGAAGGATGATGGGAAAAAAGGAAAAGACAAAGGGAAAGGTAAGAAAGTAGAATCTGAAGAGGAAGAGCCACTGAGTGATGAAGAAGAGGAGGAAGAGTTTAGTGATGAAGAAGAAGACTCAGAAGATGACAGGAGGGGGCGCGGGGGCAAGGGGGGTAAAGGAAAAAAAGGGGGAAAGTCTAAACGAGATGACTCTGAAGAGGATGAGGATGATGAAGATGAGTATGACGAGGATTATGAAGATGAAGATGGTCATGGTAAATCCAAAAAGAAATCTAAAGATGATCGACACCACAAAGGTGGAAAATCTGATGATGCAAAAAAGAAAAAGGCTAAAATGAAAGAGGAAACTCCACAGGTTCCACAAAGAGAAATACCCAAAAAAGGTCTGAAGAACATGTCCAGAATGTTCATGAAGTTTTCTGGCTTCAAAAGGCGGAGAAGAAGCGTCAAAAAGCTGAAAAGTACATCACGTTTGTTCCTTGGCTTGGGGAGAAGAAAGAGCCGTGTTGCTAAAAAGAAACGCCGCAAATCTGTAATGAAAAATGCCTCTCGGTTCATGATGAGGTTTAAGTCCAGCCAGAAGAAAAAAAAGGAGAAGGAGGCCAAAGAGAAGGCAGCAGCAGCAAATGATGGGAAAAAACCAACGTACATGTTACTTCGATTGGGAGGAGGAGGCTCTAAGAAAAAAGGGGGATTCTTCAAAGGTTTATTTAAAAGGAAAGATAGCTCTGGACCTGCTGATGACTTCAAGAACAGTAGCATGTTGTTGGGTAAGGTTGCAGCAGTGACTAATTGGCTGACCAAACGTTTTCTTTCTACTAAAATGCAAGAACGTCATGGCTTTGGGCGTCGTAGATCAAACATGCAACAGTCCAGCTCCAGARGGTTTCTTCATGGTTATCACAACAATGGCTATGAGTTTGAGGAGGATATGCATGGATATGATCACAAAGGTTATGGAGGATATGATGATGGCTACGGAGGTTATGGAGTAGATGGAGCATATGGAAGCCAGGGTCAGTTTGGTTACTATGAAAATGGGACAGGAGGTGCAGACTATCAAGATCTAGGGTACTATGAGGAAGACGGATTCTATGATCCAAATCTAGAATATTATGAAGATGAGTTTTATGATCCTAATAACCCTTACTCTTCTGCCCAGGGGTACTATGATAACCAGGAAGCAAATTATTTGGGATACCAGCAACAACAAGCAACGTATGGTGGTGAGGCTCTGGACTACTATGCATCAATGGGTGAGGGACAGATGTATGGAGGTCAGACAGATGGTTTCCTGGACCCTCGAGGTCAGGTTTATTATGATGAAAATGCTCAGGGAGTGTACTTCGGAGAGAGTCAGATGGGTTATTCTGACATTGGACAATTAGGTTATTATGAGACTCCTTATACAGCAACCATGGGGATGAATGGCGGTCTTCCACCAAATATTCAGCTTGACTATAGTGATGCTGGCATGTCCTATCAAGACCTAAACTCCCAGCAAACAATAGGATTCCCACCTGGGAGCCAACAGGTCTTTGGGTATGCAGGGCAAGGACTAGATCATGTCGAGGGGCTAAATGGGAACCAATATGCAAATCTAATTCATCAAAGTGGGGATGCCACTGGTAGATTTCAGCAAGGAGACATTACATTTAGAGTTCCTAGACCTCAAGTGCGCCTATTTGGGAAAGAGCGTCTAGATGTTCCTTTACCGCCTCCACCGACATTACCACCTGATCCAGAATTTGAAGACATGTCAGACATTCAATACGAAGACCAGATTCCTCTTGCACCATTTTTGCCTGGAGACACAATGTCGCTCCAGCAGCAAATGCCAATGTCACCACATCAACAAATGATGATGTCTTCACAACCATCTCCAGTGATGTCCCCTCAACAACAGTTCATGTCTACACATCAGTTGATGTCATCACCACAACAAATGTCATCACCACAACAAATGATGTTTCAACAAGAAAACAATTTGTCCTCCCAGATTATGTCAGCACAGATGTCAACACAGCAGCAGATTATGCCCCAACAAATTATGTCCCCAGAGCAGCAATTTATGCCCCAGCCAATGATGAGCCTAGAGCAGCAATTCATGCCCCAGCAAATGATGAGCCCAGAGCAGCAATTTATGCCTCAACCAATTATGAGCCCAGAGCAGCAATTTATGCCCCAACCAATGATGAGCCCAGAGCAGCAATTCATGCCCCAGCAAATAATGGCCCCAGAGCAGCAATTTATGCCCCAACCAATGATAAGCCCAGAGCAGCAATTGATGCCCCAGCAAAGGATGGCCCCAGAGCAGCAGTTTATGCCCCATCAAACAATGACCCCAAAGCAGCAGTTTATGTCCCAGCAATTGATGTCCCCACAGCAGCAGATGATGTCAGAGCAACTGTTTCAACAGCAGCAGATGACGCCACAAACAATTCCTCCACAGGTAACTCTAACTCAAGTGTTTCATTGCTACTCCAGAATATGGGATAGTATAGTATATCTGGCAAGATTGTACTGTTGTGTTTCAGGCAAGAAATTCATAAATAATGAGGAATTGGTGGTAAAGTAAATGAATAATTTGTAAATGTTTTAAACCAAAGATGTCCTAACWGTTTAAAGTAGGGCTATTTAACTGGCAGACCTCACCCAGCCTGCAATTGAGCGGTTGATTGATGAATTCTTGCTCATTGATGAATTCATTTAAGTTAAAACAGATTTTAAATTTGATACAAACATCTGTGAAAGAAAGATTTGAATATATGAAATGACAAATATTTCTGTGATCTTGTTAAAGATAATTAATGACAGGGCTATAAAACTCAGTCCGCTTGTTAATATGTTCATTTAAGATAAAACTAGATTTTATGTAATGACTATTATTGCTGAATATCTGGCCCATTAGCTGTTAGCTTTCAGTTACTGTGACCCTCTGATCCATTTAGTTGACTAGCTCTAGTGTAAATGTAAAAATTCTATACTATCTTGTTAAGTTTTTACAAATGATGTAGTGCAGGCTGAGCATAAATGCACAAATTGCATTTAAGTTAAGAATCTATTTTTTTTTCAATCCTACTGTTTCATGCCAGACATTACTACTCAAAGCAGTGTGTACCTTTTGAGATGTCAGTAGAAAGTCCCGGCAATACTTGGACTGATGAGGTTGTAACATATTCTCACTCCCGACTCGTCAACGTATTGACGCTTTTCCAAAGTTCCCTCTGCGTCTTATTTTGACGCGTCGGGTGACCCCCTCGCAGTTTTTCCGGGTTGCACCACCAGGGGTCTTTGTGTCGGGGGGTCTGAGGTTAACATGAGAGATCAGGATTAATGGTTAAGTTTAGGTACTGGGGTCAGGGATAGGATATCTACAGCGAATCTTAGGTAATTTTAGGCTTTGGAACACGCAGTTGACGTGAGTTTCCTATTTTTTCTAAAAATGGTTAATTTTAGGTATCAGGGTTAATGGTTAATTTTAAGTACTAGGGTCAGGGACAGGATACCTAAAGTGAATAAAGCTAATTTTAGGCTTTGGGACAATAGTTTTTGTGCATTTTCTACACTTTCTAAAATTATGGCAACAGATTCCGCCCCATCTCGTCAAAAACTGAGGCCTACCTGACGCGTCAAAATCAGACGCAGTGGGAACCTTGGAAAAGCGTCAATATGTGACAACTTGGGAGTGAGAATGGGTTGGAGGATCAGAGCATGACAGGACCTCAGAAAAAATCAGAGTTGTTCAGAAGCTGTACCTTTACAACGTTCCCTTTTCAAGTAGAACATTGCAGTGCAACTCCCAACAATTTGTGTGCATGATCTGGAGRTTATGAAAGTAACCAATGTTCCCCGAGGGAGGGAAACGAGGTACAACACGAGTATGGGGATTGCGCCCTCGCGAGACCAACCTGAAAAAGTTTCTTTCAACACGCCTGTTAAGGCCAATGAGATTGCTGCATGCATCTCCAGGAGGCCCCGCCCTCCTGTATATAAGATGCTGCGCAGTCTCATTTCCTCAATCTGCAAAGCATTTCGCCGAGCTTAGGTGGCATTGAGGGGCCRACTTGTGTTGTTCCTCATTTCCCTCCCTCAGGGAACATTGGTTACATTCGTAACCTCCAGTTCCCTTTCGGTCAGTACACTCGGTACAACACATGAGTATGGGGATCTACAATCACGCCCTGAGATGCATATGCAGAGAGAGAATTAGCCTGATACAGGCAACAGTGGATATCTCAAACTTGTGCTGAAAGAACAGCCTGGGTGACGTCACTGGTGGTAACATCCAGGCTGTAAAATCTTATGAACGTATTGGGAGACGCCCAGTTCGCAGCAGCGCAAATGTCTGCTACTGGGATTCCCTTAAATAGAGCCCATGAGGTGGCCATACCTCTGGTAGAGTGGGCGTGTACACCGCAGGGTGTTTGTTTACCCTTAGAGATATATGCTCTTGAAATTGCCTCCACCACCCAGTTAGAAAGGCGTTGTTTAGACAGAGCGTTTCCTGTCACCGGCTTAGCTAAGCACTCAAATAGCTRATCCATTTTTCGACAGCTTCATGTTCGTTCAATATAAATACGCAGTGCGCGCACGGGGCAGAGCACGCTAATGAGCCTCTGCTCTGCGGTTGTCACTGGTGATGGCGGAAAAGCCGATATTTCAAAGGAAAGGCTTTTATGAGACAAAGATGGKACTTTGGGAACATTTGCCGGGTTGGGACGTAAAATCACTCTTGAACCATCATGCACAAACTKGGTGCACAAAGGGTGAACCAAAAGCGCGTGCATGTTGCTCATGTGTTTGGCTGAGCAAAGCGCTAGAAGAAATGCTGTTTTATATGATAAAATATTCACATTGACTGACTCTAAAGGTTCAAAGGGTGCTTCACACAACGCTTCTAACACCAATGACATGTCCCACTGTGGCGCCAGTGTCCTACCTGGTGTTTTTTACATAAAATACCTTTCATGAACCGTACCGCCAGAGGATGAGAACCGGGAGACTTTCCGTTCCAAACTCCATGACAGGCAGAGATGGCCGACAAATAAACTTTTATTGTGGAGAAAGAACGGTTCTTCTCCAGCAATTCCTGAAAAAATGTGAGAACCTTCAGCTATGGTGCTGAGAAAAGGAACAATGTTTCTTTCCAGACACTAAGTTTCAAAAACACGCCACATAATTGTGTAAACGTTTTGAGTGGACTCGGCTCTGGCGCACTTAATCGTGCTCACCACATTACCAGGGAGGCCTGTAGCCATCAGTTTTTCCCTCTCAGGGGCCAGGGCCCACAGGTTCCAGATCTGTGGGCGGGGCTGCCAAATCTGCCCATGCGCTTGGGTCAGGAGATCTTTGCACATGGGGAGACATCATGGCTTCCCATCCAGTAGTGAGACAATTTATGCAAACCAGGCTTTCTGGGGCCACCGGGGAGCCACTAGGATCATTGGGCCTCATGCAAGAACCGTTCGTACGCACAGATTTGTTCTTAAGTTGTGTGTGCGAGTGATTTAGGAGAATTAGTGGCATTCACCAATGTTTTYGTATTCTAAGATTTTTTTCAGACACGAACAAAATTGACTATCCCAGATAACAGATTTTCTGACTGGGGATCAGTTGGCTCTTTTCTTTGTTTATAACAAACCCCAGAGACTGAAGGTGCGACATCAGCAGAGCTGTATGCGCACTGGCCTGATGAGGAGAGTCCGCCAGAATTAATAAAYCGTCCAGGTAGTCCAGGGTTCTGATGCCCTGGGCCCTGACTGGTGCTAGTGCTGCCTCGAGGCATTTTGTAAATACTCGAGGTGCCAGGGATAAACCGAATGGCAGGACTTGATATTCGTACGCTTTCGAAGGCAAAGCACATACTGTATATTTTCTGTGTTTGGGTTGGATCGAGATGCGAAAATACGCATCTTTCAGATCCACTGATGTAAACCAGTCCTCTTGTCTTACTGACTGCATTACGTGTCACAAAGTTAACATTCTGAATTTGAATGTTCTCAGCCTTTTGTTTAACTGTCTCAGGTCCAGTATAGGACGGAGACCCCCGTCTTTTTTCGGGTTAACAAAATAGCAGCTGTAAAAACCGCTGTCTGAGTCCTGTGGAGGGACRATTTTTATCGCTTTCTTTGCTAGAAGTGTGCGAATCTCTTCCCTGAGGACCAGGGCAAGATGCGGTTTTATTTTTGACAGCGTGGCTCCCCTTAATGACAGAGGAGGTCTGCTGAATTGCAACCTGTAGCCCGGAACTACAATTCCCATGATCCATTGCGATGGTACGCATGCGCGCCAAGCTTCGGCTCTGGAACTTAGCCTCAACGGCATGTTTATTTGTGAGTTCATTGCACCCTCTACTGAGCATAGTTTTGAGAGGGGCAGAGTGTTTGGCTCCATTTCTCAGTGCGCTCTCTCCTTTATTTTCAGTGTTTTTGTGAAATGGGGACAAAAATCGTCCTTTATTTCTGAAAACAGTGACAAAGCAGTGTGAACACGGCATTCTGTCTTTATTATCCCCGGTGCTTGAGGACGGAATTTTCCTCTTATTGCACCAAAAACACATACAGTAAGTGGGGAGTGTGTGTGTGCGTGCGTGGTGTGGTTGTGCACATTAGTCCACTTAATCGGGGTCTTTTTGACTCTGATGCAGACTGTATCTGCGGAGCTTTCCTTTTTCACGGTGGGTGGAACAGCTCTAATTTTGTCTTTCAGCTGTGAAGCTAGGCCCACTGTTGCTTTTTCTACCTCACCACTGATGAGGGTTTTGGTACCCCTGCCTGCTTTGGGACAAAGCAGTGCTTGGACCATGCAGGCTGCCTGGGTTGTGGACGCCCTCGCTGAGCTGCAGGGAAAAGTAGCTGTTGTGGTTCAGACTCGGGCGAAGGCCTTTTCTGTGCAGGACGTCGGGACGGGGAGTGCTGACGCTGAGGCGTGCTTCTGTGATCACTGGGGGCTCTGGACTGAGAGTACTGGCGTCTGGGCATCCCCAGTCGCAGGGCGTCCTCCTGTTTCCTTCTTTGATCACAGCAGGTCTGGATCTTTTCCAGAGCTTGTCCAAACAGTCCTGTAGCCTCGACAGCCTGATGGAGAAACTTCGAGCGCTGGCCCTCTGGCAACTCCATGAGTGTGAGCCACAGGTGCCGCTGGGCGACCACAGCCTCTGACATGCCTTTTCCCAGCGCAACCGCTGCTATGCTGGACAGCCTGAGAATAAAATCCGCCGTCCTACGGACCTCGTCCAGAAGTCTCTTGGAGCTTTCCCCATTTTGTAGTGTCTCTTGCAGCTCCTGTAGCCACTCTGCCTGGCATGCCTGTAGAACGGAGGCAGTGTTTAGTGCGCGCGCATAGAATACCTGGGCGCTGTAAATTTTCTCCAGCTGCGCGGCGGAAAACCGACACTGCTTACTGGGGAGAGATGGTTTGCTTGACAACGTGTTTGACTTGGGAGCCAAGTGAGCCACCAGTGTTTCCTCCATTGGAGGGATTTGTGCCAGACCCGCTGGTTCCATGTCCTCCAGGTCCAGGAACTGGGCAAAAGGTAGTGACAGTAGGGCCTTGGGGGACGCCCAGGACCGCGTCAGCTCCGTCAAGTAGTCCCGAAAAATGGGTAGCTTATGTAAGAAAATAATTACCAGCTAGTCTTGTCTGGCATTGAAGCGGCGGCGGGGCCGGCCACGGCAAGTAGAGACGCTCGGCCGCYCTGCGGCACAACTCGAACATGGCTGAGGTGAATCCACCCGCTTCGGCAGGTGTTTCCACTGCCTCCTGAGACAGCTTCTCAGCCTCCCACCCTTCACCRGTTTCCTCCTCTGAGAGACCACCAGAGGCCACCAGAGAGATTTCGTCATCCGCCAGCAGCCTAGTCTGCATGTTGAACCCAGTCAGGTCCTCCTCCACGTCCTCGGCGGGGAGGATCTCATCCATTTGCTCGYCCCAAGATGGTGCTGAAGCGGCGTCCTCGGTCTCCTTGAGTTCCAACTCTTCGGTTGGCTCGAGGGTCTCGGACAGCAGCGGGTCCCTGGCTGCGGTTGAATTTCCCAGTAACTTAGTGAGGAATTCCACCCGCCTTTCCAGGTCAACTTATGGAGTCGGCTACAGTGCGCACATGACTCCGGGTTAGCAAGTGCAGCTTTCACATGCAGCATGCCGAGACACACTGGACAAGTGTCGTGGGTATCCTTCTCCGACAGGAAAAAACCACAAGCGCTCGGACACGCGCGTGAACCCAGGCTCGCAGCCTTGCTAGACTTGCTAGGGGCTGGGAGTCCTGTCTTACTCTTCTCTGGCACCATTAAAACGGCAGAAGAGTGGTAGTGTGTCAGTTAGCAAGCTAAACAGACAAAGTATGATGTTGTTCTGCTAAGAGGTTTTCCCGCGTTAGCAAGCTAAACCAGGGTGAATGAATCATGCTAGTTAGCAAGCTAAACAAGTCAGAAGTCAGTGAAGCAGAAATAATTTGCCATTAGCTATGCTAAATGGGTGTTGCAGGCCAGCAGGCTAAACCAGCAAAGGTACAGAACCACTTGTAGTGATGACCTGGGCAGGGAGCTAGCTCAACTCCGATCGGTCAGTTAAGTCAGCTACAAGAGATCTGTTAGCAGGTTAAAGCGAGGTGAAGTACAAAAAGATTGAGGAAATGAGACTGTGCAACATCTTATATACAGGAGGGTGGGGCCCCCTGGAGATGCATGCAGCAATCTCATTGGCCTTAACAGTCATGTTGAAAGAAACTTCTTCAGGTTGGTCTTACGAGGGCAAAATCCCCATACTCATGTGTTGTACCAAGTGTACTGACCAAAAGGAAACTAATAGTTTAAAAGTGTCTGGTTCTCTCTGTGAAGACATATTAAGGTTTTGTCACAGAATGCTATATCCAAGTTAAATTGTTTTAAATCTAGAACAGCACATTTGAACAATATAAAATAATCACTTTCATATTTCTTACCAKCTAAATGTTTGTTTTACACCTTTCTCATGCTGCAGATTGCAACAAACCCAATGATGATGTCACAACAACAAAATCCCAATCTCCCATCAATCCCAACACCAACAGCCATGATCATTAAGCATGCGACCATGTCCCCCCTTTCTGTACGCCGCGTACAACCTTCTCCAACTCCATCTCGTCGATCTGTTATCTTGCCCTCTCCACAGATGCAACGCCATTCCTCCATCATTGCTTCACCACAGGCCCCTTCTATGTTTGCACACAGACGTAGTCCCTCTCCACAGCCTATGATGAATGGGTTTATTAATGGCCAAAGGCCTCCATCTGTTATTTCTAGACAGAGTTTACCTCCTGTCTCTCCCTTGGCATCCCCACTTGTCAATCAACGAATGCAGCCTCAGAGGTCACTTTCTCCCCTGGCTCGAAGATCCTCACCACCGCACTCTCCTCGTGCCTCCATGGTTCGTCGTAGTCCTCCAACCTCACCTAGGGCATCAATGAGGCGTGGTTCTCCACCTTCATCCCCCCGCATGTCAATGAGGATGCGAAGTCCTCAGCCATCACCAGTTCCTCCCCGAAGTCCATTTGGAGAGCGAAAGATGCAAGAATTCTCTTCTCCTCCCCTCTCCCCTGGTCATCAGTCGCCACCTCGTTCTCCAAAGCTCAGCAGAAGACCATCCCCATCTCCGTCACGTCAAAGTTTATCCCCTGCAGGGCCTCGGCCTACTCCATCTTCTCCTACCCTTTCTCGACGCTCAACTCGGCTGTTAAGGGACCCCACACCGCTGGCCAGGCCTAGGATGGGAGGAAATGTCCCTTTAGGTACAGTAAGACCCTCCCCCATGGGTCTCAGAGGGCGACCAGTGCCTCCACCTACCCAGAATGTGCGTCCGTTTCGTGCATCCTCTTTAAGAAGTAACAGATCTTCTGTTCTTACTATAGACTCTTCCCTCCATTCCTCTCCTCTCCACTCTCCTCATATGGTTCATCGTRCTCCCCTTCAAAGGAGAGAGTCTGGACGACTTCCATTTCGTCCCATAGCTAGAGGGCGCCCCCTTATGGCCCAGCAATCCATAAGAAGTATGCCTTCTGCCTCACCACAGCTCTCCATTAAACACATGCCACGCAGTGCATCTCCACGCCTCTCTCCACGATTGCATCGCCACTCGTATTCCCCAGGTTCACATGCTGACCCTTACATTGAACACTCACCTCAGTTTGTTGCACCTTCTTCTCCCATGTTACCTCGTTCTTTACCTAGTCACAGTATCCCACCGGATTCTTTCTCATCTCCCCTTGGACCAGAGGTATCCCAAATGGTAGGCATGGGTGAGATGACTGCAGAATTTGTAGAGCCTGATGTTTCTTTGTCCCCTGGTCTTATGCCAAACCAAGCCTATTCTCCCCCAATGCAGAGGCCAGTGTCACTTTACCAGCACCCTCTGCCCCCTCCTTCGCCAGTACTTTCTGGAGCTCTCCAAAATCAGGCAATGAGAGAAGCATCCTTTGTTTCTCCACTTCAGAGGCCACAGTCTCCTTATGCTCAACCTGTACCCTCATCTCCACTGCTGTCTGGAGCACTGCAAAATCAGATGGTGAGAGATGCATCCTATGTATCTTCACTTCAGAGGCCACAGTCTCCCTATGCTCAATCTGTACCCTCATCTCCAATGCTTTCTGGAGCATTGCAAAATCAGATGGTGAGAGATGCATCCTATGTATCTTCACTTCAAAGACCACAGTCTCCTTATGCCCAATCTGTACCCTCATCTCCGATGCTTTCTGGAGCCATGAGACATGGTCAAGCAGTAAGACGTATGGCTTCTTATCAAACTCCACAGTTACATTCACCATATGGACCAACTGTCATTACTCCATATGACTACATCTCAGAGCCTGGCCCAGCACCACTGCTCCACGATGCTTTGCAAACTCGAACAGATTTGCAGAACATGTCTACATTTAAATCTCCTATGATGCAACGCCGTAATGTTTATTCACCAACTATGCCTCAGCTCCACAGTGCACTCCAGCAGAATCCTAACCTCCGCCAAGCCTCTTTTCAAACACCTGTGCAACTCAGACAGTCCTTACAGGGACCTCAGTCACCCTCTTCACCAATATTGGGAAGTGCCCTTCAAAATCCGCAATTGATGCAGGCATCATACCGTCTGCCAGATGGAACTTTGATGTCCCCTTATACCGATCCACGTTCCTCCCCAATGCTTGGCCATGCATTGCAAAACCAGCAAATCCGTGGTGCCTCATATATCATGCCTGATGGATCTGTTATTAGGGTATGTATAAAAGGAGTGTTGTCAAGTAATCTGCTATGTTTCTATACATAATGGAAAATTTCAGAATAACAGTTTTGCTCTCTTACATGACTCCATCCAAACAGGACCCTCGTGCACTTCAGAAACCAATGTCACCCAATCTCTCTGGAGCTCTTCAAAACCAGTATCTCAAGTCTGCTTCATACACGCTTCCTGATGGTACCATTAGAGATCCCAGACAGCAAGTAATCTCACAACTTTTCTATTACTTTTCATTTAGTTTGCTTTTGACTTTATGCAATTCTTTGTTCAGTAAATTTGTAATCATCTAATAGTTAAAACTAAATAATATGTTCTTTGTTTAGCATCCTATTTCCCCAAACCTTGCCAGTGCCTTAAACAACCCTGCTCTACGCCAAGCTTCCTATTCCCTTCCCGATGGTACCATTGTGATTGATCCTAAGACAGAAAAATCCCCCAACCTTGCAGCAGCACTTCAGAATCCTTACCTGAGGAGTGCCTCTTACACTCTCCCGGATGGCACTATCATTATCGATCCAAGGAAAGCTGCCTCTCCAGATCTGTCTAATGCCCTTCGAAACTCCTCCCTGATGAACACCTCCTTCACACTGCCAGATGGGGTTCGAAACCCCAATACGCCAGTGTCACCAAATCTGGCTAAGGTTAATTATAAATCCAGATTTATTGCATTTTTCTAAATTTTTTTACATTTTTATTCTGCTTCTTAGTTTAGGTAGGACTGAATATACAACTATAAAGGTTTGAAATCTTTTCATACAATTATTTAGTTTTGCAACTATTGCTAATTTAATCAGATGTTTTATTAATCTTTTGCCTAAGTTGCACTTGGAAAATATTTTGTGAAGCTAATTAAAACCAGCTGTTCCCACAGGCGCTCAGTAACCCAGCCTTGAAAGCAGCTTCATATACCCTTCCTGATGGAACTCTTATTGTGGACCCAAGGAAACCAAAGAGCCCAAACCTGGTAGCTGCCTTGCAAAATCCATATCTAAAGGGTGTGTCTTACACACTGCCAGATGGAACCATCCTTATTGACCCACGGAAACCAGTTGGTCCGGACCTGTCCAAAGTATGTCTTTGTTAAATTGTTTTTAACTTTGTCACAATGCGTCTTTGGGATTTTTTTTCTTCCTTTTTACTAACCTGGTTCAAATAAAACTGTTTCCTTAAATAGTATTTATTTTAATAGATTATTGAGATTATTGATGAATTKTATTTATAGTTTTGAATAAACAAGTTATATTTGTTCTCCCATCTAAAGGCTCTTTTGAATCAAAACCTTCGCCAAGCAACGTACCAACTCCCTGATGGTTCCTTGGTTATTCCTGGCCAGAGGCCAAACCTGACATCTGCTCTTAGGCAAAACAGGGGACTTCGTTCTGCAGGTCTCTATCATCTCTCAGAAAACTCAGTACTGTCAGGTGCACGCAGACCCAGCAGTCCCACCCTTGTCTCTGCACTGCAGAATGAAGAACTACGTGGTGTCACTTACAGGTAGAAAGCCATACTTAATAAAAATGAGAAACTAGTGAGATGGCCAGATAGGCTTTTCAAGATGTTTCACTTCTAATTTTACAAATTATTTCTATTTTAGAACACAACACTACAATTTTATTTTTAGTAATAGTCATATTCCAAACTGTATGTTATGAGAAAGAAAACATTTTCTAACAAGGCTGTTTCATGAGTGTGTAATATTAAAATTAGAGTTTGGTTTCCTGAACTTGTTAGTTTTAGTTAGGTTTTTTTTAGTTTGTTTATTTTCCCCCAGGTTGGGGAAGAGTTTCTTCCTCAAGTGGAGGAATTTAAGAATCTGTGTGTCTTATTCACGAGTGATGGTAGGATGGAGCGGGAGATGGATCAACAGATTGGGGCCTTGTCCTCAGTAACAAGAGTGTTGCTTTGGTCAGTCTTGGTGAAGAAATAGCTGAGTTTAAAGACAAAACTCTTGATTTACTGGTCTATTTACATATCACCCCTCACCTTTGGTCATGAGATGTGGATTGTGACCCAGAAGAACGAGATCCCGGATACAAGCAGCTGAAATAAGCTTCATTTGTAGGGTGGCCGTGCTCAGCCTTAGAGATAGGGTGATAGCACTGTCATCTGGGGGGAGCTCAGAGTAGGGCCTACTCCAAATCAAAAGGAATCAGTTGAGGTGGTTCATCTGATTAGGATGCCTCCTGATGCCTCTCTTTAGAGATGTTCTGGGCATGTCCCACTGGTAGAACGCTCCGGGAAAGACCCAGGACTCACTGGAGGGATTATGTATCCTCTCTGGCCTGGGAACACCTTGGGGTCCCTCAGGATGATCTGGAAAGTGTCACTGGGGAGAGGGATGTCTGGGTTTCTTTCCTGGATCTGTTACCTCCGCAACCCGACTACGGATAAGTGGACGGAAATTGAGATAGTTTATTTAACAGGGACAATGTGCAAAATAACAAACAACAAMAACAAAAAAAAACATTAAGAAAAGGTGCTTTGCACCAGAATAAGCTTAACTTACTTTTTTCTGAGCGGAAGAGTTAAAAATACWATCTAAAACCATACAACATAATATATGACAATTACTATAGAAAGTCATAAAAGTAAAACAGTAATACCTAACTTTTGTTCTAAATTTGATAATGCCAAGATCACAGTTTTTATTTTTCGATGCTGACACTGCTTTTCTGTACACTTTCCTGACATAATGAGAAAAGTCCTTCAGGTCAGTGAAAAGTTAAAAAATGACAAAGCACAGTTTGTAACAGTGACTAAGTTTTCCTTTTCATATTTTACCAGTGTAACAGAATCCTTTGCAATGCTTTCTTTATAGAACAGAACTTTTCTTTGTTCCACAGGCTGCCAGATGGCTCTCTTCTTACACGACGGTTTCACAACCCAAAATTGTCCGATGCCATCCAAAATCAGCATCTTCGTTATGCCTCCTACACTGTGCCAATAGGACTCCAGGGGGAGGATCATCGCTACGCTGTAATACCTCCGTATGGGCCACGATCTGGCCACTGGGCCAGAAATGCCCGAGGTGGAGGTGAAGGTGGGGAAGATGTTTGGTCAGCAGAGAGGATTTTGCCCCATGGGACACTTCAAAATTTGTCAAAGTGGTCTATGTACAGAGAAGATGGGATGTTGGAAGGATATTCACCAACTCCTTGGGTTATCAGTGGGCAGTCTCAGGTCCTGGACTGGACACCTGGCAGGGATAGAGTACCAGGTCAAAGCTGGTACGACAAGGTACTGTCAAGTTCATGAATTCATGTGGTTAATTAAATTAGAATTAATAAATTTTTGGTAAGACTTTCTGAGACTTTAAAAAATGTTGATGGTGAATATTATCTTGACATGACAAAGACTTTGACATATAAACTATTCCATCAATGTTTGTCTAATTTTGTGATAAACATGTGTTTGTCCAGATCTTCTCTATTATAAGCATGCCCACAACATGCCACAGGGTTCAACGCTGGGCAGAGGGAATGGAAGACATGACACAACTCCCGTAAGCACTATTACCCAAAACAAACACAGCTACTGCTCTTCCATTTTCCAGTTTCATAATGACAATTTTTTTAATTTTCTGATTTTTATCTAGTTTGTTATAGAAGTGTCAAATACAGAATAAATGGAAATAAGCCTAATTGGGTTCTTTCATTTCAAGTTGTACAGTTTATGTTTCATCAAGCATTAGGAGATCCAAACGAGGGTTTTTCAAAGACTGATGCTGGTGTTTACAAAGCCAGACAGCCAATAGCAAATATACTGTATAAAGCCAGTTTGTTCATTTATTTGTTAATTTTGGTTTGTGATTTTAACAGTCCTTTTCTTTATTTATACACATTATAGATGACGAAAAAGAAAAAATCAACAACTAAAGTTTGGTTAATAGTTTAAAATAGGGTGCATTATAGCTACCAGTTGAGTAGCAGAGGGCTTGAAACCTTGTAGAGTTTCGCACAGGTATTTTTTTTCTTATTATTCCAGCGTTACTATTTTCAATGGTAGTTTTGACATTGTTTTTTTTCTTTTTTTTTTTCATAAGTTAAGATAATTCTCTACTCACCTTACTGCTGTGGTTTCATTGATTTTCTCTACACAGTGGCAAAAAAAACTTTGAATCTTGAATCTTTGGTCTTTGTTGCTGCTGATCCTACAAGAAACAACAAAAAATGCAGGAAATGTTGTTTGACTGACATAAAGGGTTTCTGCCACATGGAACAACTCTGCTTGCTCATCTTTGTATGCTCCTGCCTAGTCAAAGCCAATTGTTTAAAAAGTGGCAACAATCACTTAACTAACTAGTTGGTTTACCTGTTATTATCAATTTACTTTGTGTATAGCAGATTTTTAGAGTAGTTTATTAAAAAAGGGGCACCTGTGTCGAAATTTAGAGTAAAACCCTGAATTACAGTCTGTATTTGCACCATTTCAACATCAATTTTTAATAGCTCAAAAAGACCTTGATTGTCTTTAAGAATTAATGAACATTGGGTTTTCAAAGTGAGTGTGCCAATATGTGCTCATTGGATTTATTTAATTTCCTCTGTTTAATTTCAGTGAGCTGAATGAGACCACAGTTCTGATGAACCTGAAGAAACGCTTTGATCATGAACTTGTATATGTATGCCGAGTGTCTAAATATGCAAATTAAGTATCTAATATAACCAAATGTCACAGACGCTGCCAGCTCTGTGAATTCATTTACTTCCCCTGTTCCTCCTCATTTTATGATTTTTTTTCCTTAGACGTATATAGGCAGCATCCTCGTGTCCGTGAACCCCTACAAGTTGCTCAACATTTATGGCACAGACATGGTGCTTCAGTACGAAGGCCACGGTTTGCGCGACAATCCTCCGTAAGTTCTTGGAGTATGAGTATGTTTACGTGTGTATTTGCCAAACCTGTGAAAGCCTTAACTTCTTACCCCATCACTCTGTTACTTAAGAAATTGGATATTTTAAAAGTTATTGTAATTTTATGCGCTGTTGATTTTATGTTAATCTAATTTTATTGATCTATGTTTGTGTATTTAGTTGAAGAAAAGTCAGATATAGAATAAACAAAAAATTCTGAGTCCTTTAAAGTTCAAGATGAAACAAGAACAGTGTTATTTATTTGTTTTTTTACATTTAACTTTAATTTGTGAGAGCATGCATATTTGTTGTACTTGTGTTATAAGCTTGTTTGCTTGTGAGTTGTGCTCATAGGACTAGTATCATGGTAAGCAGAGGTGTAGATGCCAGCACTCTGTGTTAGTGAAAGGCTACTGTTACACTGGAGTTGGGCGGTTGCCAAAGGAGAGTTTGGTCATTCATTTACGCAAAGTGTCCTTAGTCATACAGAGTTTGTCCCAAGTGACTGGCCTGTGAACATGTTTTAATTCAAATGATTTATTGTGTTACAGTCATCTCTTTGCCATTGCTAACCTCTCATATACAACCATGATGGATGCCAAAAAGGATCAGTGTATCGTGATCAGGTATGAAATACGCTTACTGTTCATACTGCTGTGTTTTTCATAAACAGTATTTAAACTGAAGAAAAGCTCAACATTTTAAAGGTTTTCGAAACAATTTGAAAAACTGGGTTTCTTTCTAATACTGCTCAAATTCTTGTTTATAATGGAGTATTAGGGCCAGAATAATTTTGAGAATAAAATCGTATGAGAATGAAGTTTTTATGAGAGTTACTATAAGTCCTTTGAACAGCCTCAATTTGGAGAAGTGTTTAATTCTGACTAAACTCAACTAAACTAAACTAAGCTAAACTAAACTAAACTAAACGAACAAACTACTAGTCCAAGCAGGGCTAAAAACAAAGTCGATTGTTAACTTAATATAATTCCAATCTCAAAAATAAGCAGTTCAGGCAAACAATAAATTATAAACTTTGCATCATTTATTTCACATCACATGAATATTTACAGAAACATTTGTAATGATTTGGACATGTACATGATGGCACCAACAAACAAGCAAAATTAAAGATTAATTTAACTGCTAGTGTTCCTATTTCAGTCAAATCACAGATTCTGTAACAATTCTTTACAATTTCTTGAAAATATTATGTGACAACCCATTAAAAAAGGTTCACTTGACATGTAGGAAAAATGAGCTGTAAAAGTTATGTTGCTCATTTTTGTTATTTCAGTGGAGAAAGTGGGTCTGGGAAGACTGAAGCCACTAAACTGATCCTGCGTTACCTGACAGCCATACATCACAAACGCAACATCACACAACAGGTAGGTTCCCAGTGTCTGCACACATGGGCATATAAATTTAATTTGATACTGTAACAGTTTAGCCTTTTTTCTTTTCCCCTCTGCCGCATTATCGTCTTTCAGATACAGGTAAAGTGTTGTGCTCTCGTGAGAAGTAGCATTGCTGTTGGTTGGAGCCTTGGTAACATTTCTGTGTGTCATGATTGGTTAGATCCTCGAAGCCACACCCCTGCTGGAATCTTTTGGAAATGCCAAAACAGTGCGCAAYGACAACTCCTCGCGCTTTGGCAAATATACACAGATCTACATGGAGGAGTGAGTAGTAAGAAATTTTGCTAGTGTTTGTAGGAAAGAAAACTAATTTTCTAAAGGTGGAATGGGGGGCTTATGTATTTTCAAGGCACACAGTTCAATTATATACCGCAATCAAGCTGTGTTCAGTTCTTCAGCTGTTATGAAAATGCTGTATATATACAGTATCAAGAATAAATTTGACTTTACATCATTTGCATCTAAAGGCCTTGAAACTGGCCTCCGTCTCTTTAAGAAACTCCTACCATTTTCCACACTCCCACTTCAGCACATCTTCAAAACAAAGCTTGGGGGCGTGGTGCTCTGTGGGGTGGGAGCTCAGCTGCAGACTGAGCTCTAGGGAGGAGCTTTGTGTAAATAGGTGGTGCTTTGTACCAACACGTGTTTAGGCAGCTCCACATAGCTACCACAGGAGATTCAAGGATTCCTCAAACATGCATGAATGAGTCAAACCAACACTGGGTATATATTTGATGAGGGAATGACATTATATGCAAATTTCATATAAAATGACATTATGTGCAAATTTCTCCTTGGTGGGATCAATAAAGTTTTTATCTTATCTTATCTTATCTTATCTTATCTTATCTTATCTTATCTTATCTTATCTTATCTTATCTTATCTTATCTTATCTTATCTTATCTTATCTTATCTTATCTTATCTTATCTTATCTTGTATCATGACATTATAACATGATTTTGCATACCCCAACTTTAAGAAGCATCATTTAATGTGGAACTCTACTGTACCTAGTCCGTTAAAAACAATAAAGGCCTAGCATTCCTTGACGAAATGTGCATCGTTATCCACCTTTCAATTAAAAGTTTGTATGTTGAAAAAAACAGAACTGAAGTTGATTTGGTCAAATTTAAAAATAATGTCTAGGTGATATTGAATCATATCAAGCTCAGAGCATGTGTAGTCGTGACTCAGCTACTACCGTACAAAACTATAGCTCAATATCTGTAAAACTGACTGAGTTAGTGCTGGTTAGTAGTGGTGACGATATACTGTAATACTGCGTTGAATCTAAAAGTTAGAGACTAAAATACTTGAACGACTTCATCTTGGAAAACACCAGTCATAGAGTCAGATTCAGTTTTTGGGACGTGTGTGCCAGTAACACAGTTAGATCAGTGGATAATGTTCTGTTTGAACACTGATATAGCCGAACACATTACACATGCAGGACCTGTTACTTAACTCATTGTATGTGTGTGTTTGTTATTCACCAGGGGTGTAATCAGTGGTGCCATAACATCTCAATACCTGTTGGAGAAATCCCGCATTGTCTTCCAGGTGAAAACCACAAGAACACACACGAACACACACAGCTGGAGTCTTCTTACATCTGACTCATCGTGAGAAAGAAGACACTGCACACACTAAGCATTAGAGATGTCCTGATCTAATTCTGTCCACTTTCCATCAAGTGTTTCATTCATTTATGTCCATCAAAATTGTTTCATTTTTCTTTGTCAGCAGCTTTGAATCTGCTTCAGCAAATTCCCAGCCACTGCTTTAAATTGCTCGAGATGTGTTTTTTTTTTTTTTGTGTGTATTTACTTGCATGTCGGTATGTGTCCATATGCGTGACTTGTTCATGTGTGTGTGTGTGTGTGTGTTTCCATCTACAGGCCAAATCAGAGAGAAACTACCATATCTTCTATGAGATGTTGGCAGGTCTTCCACCTAATGAGAAGCGCTCGTTGTATCTGCAGGAGGCTGAGACCTACTACTATCTAAATCAGGTGCAGTCACACAACGCGTCACTCAGGAAAGCTTATATTTAAAGGCTCACTCTAGGAAAGTGGAAATACTCTGGCTTTAGTGATAATTTTTTTTCATTAGCAAAAAAATCTTCAAACAGCTAATGTTTGAGACACTTAAGTTTCCAATTCCTTCACAAGAAATCCTGAGCCTGTGAACTCAAAATGACACATTTTTYATTTCCACTCCCTGTCTCCTGCCTTTCCCCGAAACAGTTCTCAGAGTCTGTGCACATCATATTTTCCAGAGTCTACAGCGACATGAGGACCAACTTCTAAATTAGCTGTAACGTCACACAACTTAGTTGTCCTCAACGCAGCTTTAAATACACTGCCCGGACAAAAAAAAAAGGTCACCTGGATTTAACTAATTGCWATGATCTGGTGTTGGTGCAGTTGGTCTGGTCTAGAGCAACATGTGCTCAAAGAATGAGGTCAGCTGACTACCTGAATATACTGATGGATCAGGTTATTCCATCAATGGATTGTTTTCTTCCCCGATGGCACAGCCATATTCCAAGATGACAATGCCAGGATAAAATAATAAAATAAATGTAAACACAATTTATTGACTTTAATTTTGGTGCATCTTCCTGCCTTATGTAATGACTGATATTATTCAATATTCATATTCTAAAATAGTGGCATTTTTCTTGGCAGGTTAGGGCAGTTTTGACTGATTTGTTATCAGTCTCTCCGCATGTACAACATTCAAATCTTGTACAGCTAGCATTTTCCTGTCTCGAGTTATGATAAATAATATCTTTAAAAATATTGGTGCTTTCTGGCCGTTTCTATCGAGCTGCACACCCCCCACCACCCCAGCTGCCCCAGGCTTCTTCAAACCCCACTCAAAACAGTCAATCCAATCACTCATGTCTTGAACAAACTACGCCCACAAAACATGAAACTCCCACTTAGTGACTGCAGAGACCCCCTTCGCCTTTGTTTTCAGACAAATGTAAATATAGAAACTGCAATTCAGATGGGTTTTCACTGAATCGGGTTCATTTTGTGTAATTCTTAGGATGACAAGTAATAACTTCATGCATTTCCTGAGGATGGATTTTTTTTAAATAAGTCATTATGTAATATTTAGCTAGCCACCTAAATATTTAAGTTAAATATTTAGCTAGCTAAATA